ACCTGCGACTGAACGAGAGCCAGTGTCGAGCCGCAGGACTGCATGATCTCTACACGGCTCTGAGACACCTGACCTCCAAATACCAGCAGATGGGCCTCAACCAGGAGGAGGTGCTCACTCTCAAAGCCATGGCTCTGGCCAACTCAGGTATGTCTATATATAAACCTCTTACATTACCTCTTAAATTATTAAAGTGTAAGCTTGAGATATATATATATATAGAGAGAGAGAGAGAGAGAGAGAGAGAGAATAGATAATGGATAATAAAATCATATTATGTTTCATTATATTATTTATAAAAATACATACACTTATATTATAATATTAATATACAAAACTATTGATAAAAAATGTATATTACTATGCCATCTTATATTATTTATTAATACACCCTCTTAAATTATAAAAATTATAAAGCTTGATAATCAGTCAAATAAAATTAATGAAACATTAATGGTATATTATATTACATATTATAAATTATATACAGTATATCAACTCATTATTAAAATATTTTATTATTAAAGAAATCTATTTATTAATAATGAATAAAAATATATATTATTTGTTAATATACCCTCTTAAATTATTACAGTTTAAGCTTGATATATGAAAAAAAAAAAAAAAAATATATATATATATAGATTAAATTGAATATTTATATACTCATTATTCAAATATTGTATTATTACACAAAACTAATTATAAATCGAAGCAAAGTCTTTAGTGTGTCAACATTTTTGACTGTGGTGCATGTATGAAGAGGCTATATGTTAATTAATTATGTAATATTGATGCTGTTTAAGTCTTCATGGATTGCTCAAACCCTGTCTGTATCTGGTTCGTGTGACAGGAATTCTTTCTACTTCATGTTAGCTCGCATTTTCAGTCTCTGGCCAAGAAAAACCAATCAATATGGATAGAGCAGTTCAGAGCTCAGATCAATGCATCCGAACCCGCACCATTAGCTGCATCTCACATCTGACCGCAGACCGTTTACTGTCAGACGACACCGAAAAACCTAAAGAGCGTAACCAGATAGACCTTGGCTAGTCCATTAAGCATCAACAATGGATAACAAACAGAGGGTTTAACACTGGGCTCAAACACCCAAGAGCCTCGTATGACCTTGCCGATGGTTTCTTTCTTTCAGACGCAGAGAACATGGAGGGAGCAGACGCTGTTCAGCGCTTCCAGGACGCGCTCCACGAGGCCCTGCAGGACTATGAGAGCAGCCAGCGGCCGTCCGAAGCTCACCGCGCGGGGCGCCTGCTCATGACGCTCCCGCTGCTGCGTCAGACGGCACACAGAGCCGTGCGCTGCTTCAGCCGGCTGCACACGGACGGGCGCGTGCCCATGCACAAACTCTTCCTGGAGATGCTGGACGCCACGATCTAGAGCAGGACAGTGTGGACTGAGGTGTTGTAACAGAGCAGCTCATCCTTCACGTGGAAATCCGGGTAATCACGTCCAGTGCGACGCTTAACGCAGCTAAACCAGTCTGCCAGACGAGAGGTTAAAGGGTTAGTTCACCCAAAAATGAAAATTCTGTCATTAATTACTCACCCTCGTGTTGTTCGAAACCCGTAAGACCTTCGTTCATCTTCGGAACACAATTTAATATATTTTTGATGAAATCTGAGGGCTCTCTGACCCTCCCATAGACAGCAAGGTAACTACCACGTTCAAGGTCCAGAAAAGTACCAAGATGATCGACAAAGTGGTCCGTGTGACATCAGTGGTTCAACTGTAAAGTTACGAAGCTACGAGAATACTTTTTTGCGCAAAGAAAACAAAAATAATGACTTTATTCCACATTTTCGTCTCTACTGCGTCACTTGTGGACGCGATCGCGCGTGTGGCGGCGCTGACCCAGATCCGGCGTGATGACGTCATGAAACCGTCATGACGAAAATGTGGAATAAAGTGGTCATTTTTGTTTTCTTTGCGCAAAAAAGTATTCTCGTAGCTTCATAACTTTACAGTTGAACCACTGATGTCACACGGACTACTTTGTCGATCATCTCACAATGTGGTAGTTACCTTGCTGTCTATGGGAGGGTCAGAGAGCCCTCAGATTTCATCAAAAATATCTTAAATTGTGTTCCGAAGATGAACGAAGGTCTTACGGGTTTTGAACAACACGAGGGGGAGTAATTAATGACAGAATTTTCATTTTTGGGTGAACTAGCCCTTTAATATCACTCTCTGTCTCACTGAAGCACAACCTTTTAGTACTATTTATTTGATTTATATGACGTTCACAGAGATTATCGTTTGATATGGTGTCGGCGATAGTTTAGTTGCAATTTTTTAGTTTCACATGATATATCAGTGTTTTTAATTTTGTATTCTGTAGATGTTTGTCAGGCTAGATTTGGGAGGTTGGTTACTATTGAAGACGCAAAACAGTTCCGGCGATCAGCATCAGCAACATAATCGTCAACACAAATAGTCTGCAGTACATCGTCACGCTATTGAGCAATATGCCTTTCTATTTATTGTCTAATTTATTTCAAATGCCATCTGTCTGCTGTTATTTATATGAGAATAAATTATTTTTTGGAATTTTCCAGAGTGCTTTTTTCCAGGTATTGACAACTCAATGAGTGCATTTACAAACACAACAACTTTAGAAAGTTTTATTCAGTGTTCTGAGAAGAATAACTATGTATATATATAATTTTTTATAATTTATTATAATATTATGTAGATAATAAAAAATAAAATATGATGTTAAAATGTAATTTTATATATAAAAACACAAATATATTATAATATTATATTACAAAACTAATTATTAATAATGAATAATTAAATATTATATTATTTATTAATATATCAATTTAAATGACCTCTTAAATTATAATGATAATGATTTTTGTTTGGTTTACTGATATTCAGTAACACCAAATTAAAATGTAAATATATATATATATATATATATATATTATATTATTATACAAAACTAATTATTAATAATATATCCATTTAAATTACCTCGTAAATTATTATAATGGTAATGATTTATTTGATAAATGTAAATATGATAATCAGTAACACAAAATTAATTTATATTATATTATGTATTATTAATTTCTGTAAATACTGTAAATGTTTGTCAATATAGATTTGGTAATTTGTCCAGCTGTTGCCTTTATTTATATGAAAATGGTTTATTTTATTTTAGGGAATTTTCAATAGTGCTTTTCCCTAGATATTGGTATCTGAATAAGTGCATTTACAAACACAATAACTTCATAAAGTTTTATTCAGTGTACAGGAGGAATACAGTAAAAAAGCGTAACTATAACTTATCAAATGGTTCACGTTAAACAAAAAGGTTCTTTGCATTCACAGCTTCATTATAATCATCGGCAGAACTGTTTCAGATTCATTTAGGGATGATATTGTTAATGTAACAACCAATATACCATAACAATATCTGGCAGAGATACCCAATTTTCAAGCTTTGTCATAGTGTAAAATACTATATTTTAACAAAAAAGGAGATGATGTGATTTCATACTTCATATTCTAGCATAATCAAATGCAAGCTGACTTTAAGGTGTAATTCATAGTTTTACTATAGTAACAGCCCCTGTTTACCATCTCAGAGGCACACTGATCCTCCGGCAGCAGTGAAGACTGTCTGCATTCACACACAACAGTCCTCTCAGGCGTAACTGAACTCCAGTCTGTACTCGTGTGTGTGTTCGGGGAAATTATGTTGAATGTTTGCTGATTCATATACATTGTGTTGACTGTAATACACAATGTCCTCTTCATCTCTCGCTCTTATTTACACTGCATTACACATGGTTTTGTTAGTTATAGACATAATACACACACACACACACACACACACACATATATATATATATATATATATATTTTTTTTTTTAGAAGAACTGCCTGTAAACTTATTACAGACATAAACCATGTTTTCTTTACAGCGATATCAGACAGGCTGATAATGATCTATCTATCTTTTTTTTTTACTGTCATTAGGCAATATAGTAACTGATGGCCTTGTCGATTTATAATGCACATTTTCTGTTTCTAAATATTTAATATTAAGTATAATGTAAAATAAGTATTGATTTAAATTCATCTGTTGTGTACATCTTATTTGCTACAATTATACTGTAATATATACATGAGCCCATCCTGCTCTATAGATATCAGTATTGCCCAATAATGAGCAGTCGAGCACTAATTACATCATCCTGTCAGTCAGAACAACATTCACACATATTTCATGTTCATGCAGGAATATTAGCCTGTGTGACAACAAAGCCTCAAGATGATGACGTGCAACTTCTGCACCAGCAGCATCACTATTATCACTAAATGCAACTGATCAAATAATGACTGTTTTCATACAGGCTGCTTAGACACGCCCCTAATCTACCATTGGCTGGCTAAACACAAAGCCCCGCCCCAATCTCACTTGATTGGTTGAGTCAAACAAACATAGACACAGTGTTTAGACTTTCCAGGGACTTTTAGTCTTTGCATATTAAGTTTGGGAAGTATGTTAACATTTAAAAAAATAAAATAAAATTACACTTCAGTTTTAAAGCCAGTCCATTCTTTTGTATATTACGATTAAACCAATCTGCCTTCACTTTAATGACTAAAAAGTGTCAGCAGAATAAAAATGTACAAATGAAAAGTTATTTGTTCTTCAATGTCACCCATGTTGTTTTTTTTAAATATCATGGAATGTGACTTTTTTTTTTCTCGCCTACATGCGAAATACCATATTCTCATAATAACTCCACATTCTGTATTATAAGGCACCCTGTGATACTGAGAATACTGCTCTAAAATAAATATATTTTGTAAATGTTATAACATTTTATCATAATTCAGAATTTTGAATAATTCAGTTTTTGTGAATAATATTATATATATATATATATATATAAATAAAATCACATTCAATATATATACAATCTTATGCTCAAAAATGAATAACTAAAAATCCAGAATTTCCTCTCAGAAGCTGGTTTCATTCATGTGAGGTTTAGGGCTGGTCGAAGATGAAGAGGCGGGGCTTTCCTGCCCAGGTACATTCTCATTGGATGGGCTCTCACTGGTCGGAGAGGTCAGAGGTCGTCTTGGAGACGAGACGTTAGATCTTGGAGATCTGGCTGGACTGAGCGGTGAAGGAGCAGGACTCGGTGCTGCCGAAGCTGGTCTTCTCATGGATGCTGCTGCTGATGATGATGATGATGAAGGTGTGGACAAACACGCCGCTGGCAGGGCAGAGAATGACGACTGCATTCTGAGACCGAGCCTCGCTTCGAGCTCACTGCACACAGCTAAACTCCGTCTCCCCGCGTCCAGGCCGGCCGTGTCCGAGCTCTTGGCTCTCTCCTGACAGCGCTCCACAAAGCTGCCTCTGTGGATGGAGCCGAGGCCGTCCCGGTCCTTCTCTCGCTCCAGAGGCCCGCTGCTGCTGCCGAGAGAGGACTGGCTGAGGCCAAGGTGGGGTTTGCTGAGGGGAACCAGCGGGGCCTGACGGGGCAGACTACCGGTCAGAGAAACCAGACCTCGAAAACCACCAGCAGCTCGACCGCTTTCACTGAAATGAGACTGAAGACTGTGGGGAGAGAGGCAAAATAAATAAGCAATACTGCCATCTACAGGACATGGAGAGAAAAGAAGGGTAACCCTTTATTTGATAGCATCCTGGTTACACATTACATGTATCTACTCTAGTAATAACAGTAAATTATGCATAACTACATGCAACAAACCCTAACCCTATAGTAAGTACAGGCTGTTAATGAATATTTCTCAGTAGGCTACTTAAATGTATAATTCAGTACAAGAATGTTATGCAAAGTTATTTGTAAACGGTTTTACTAGTGACTACCACTTTTCTAGGTCGGTCTGATTCAGGTGGAATTACAATATACTGTTTTATATTTCCATAAAAACTAAATATAAGTTGCATTGGGTAAAAGTTGTATTCTTGAGAGAAAAAACCCTCAGGTAAGTCGCTTTTAATTATTACGTTCAGAAATGATGTGAAATAAAACCAAACATTTATAAACATTTATTTTAATTTAGGTGTTTTAATTGTCACTCCACAAATATCCGTAAAATTTAACAGAGTAAAGAATGAGAATGAACAAACATAACTATAAAATTATAGCGCCATTCATTATTTCTTTTGTAAATATGTACTTCAATATAAACATAAAACAACACCCTTCACAGCCCTACTGTACAACATACATTTTATATTGAGCCGTGAAACCTTTTATTTTTGATTGACAGCATTTTAGTTTAATGACGAATAGACTGCAATGTCAAGTTAGTAAAACTAGAACTAAAATGATGTGGGTGCTTGATGTTAACTGCATTAGGCTTGCTGCGATAGACGGTGTTTTCGGTTAAGCCGCAACACCGGTTACGTCATTTGCCTACTGCCCCCCCCCACCGTCGTTTAGATTTTTTTATAGTAACAAAAATCATTTAGTCTAGTTCAGTTTATCACGTGAGGAGAGTGAGTCGAGCTGACTGACACGAGTGAGGTGAGAAAGACAAGACGATGCCAGAAGATTGTTTAGAAAAAAATGCAAAGGCTCCTGTTTGGCAATATTTTAGATTCTGAAAAGCCTATTGACGGGATGTTTTTTTTAAACATTCGTTTCTTATTTATTTGGTTCCACAGTGTTTGCTGATTACTTTATATAAACTTTGTGTATTTTATTTATTTTATTTTACATCAAGGTGTATATGCCGAGCCTCCAAGCTTTCTTATTCATTTTACTAATAAACGTTCTATGTTTCTTATTTATTTGGTTTAACAGTGTTTGCTGATTTTCAGTTTTATATACCTATTTAAACTTTGTGTAGCCTAAGTCATTTGTTATTTTATAAGGCATATATAGTGTATTTTTATTAGTTTTGTTAATAAAAGTTCTATGAGTTTGACGTTGTTGTTGCTTGAATTGAATCAACGCCGAATTGCCGCTAATTTGAAAGTGAAAATAAAATGCGCACGGCGCTTTTTCAAGCTATTTGAAAGCCAAGAAATCAGAGGAAAAGAAACTGCATTAGAAAAAATTATTTGGAATATAAATTGCAGCATGTTTCAGATGCTGTACAATGCTAGTATTAATGTGTACAATGTTAAAATCTCGAGGCTACACTATTGCAAGATCTTTCCTATATCTGTGATTTTTATTCCCCTATAATTTAGGGACTAATCAGCATGTAGTTTGAGGGTGTAGGACTGGAGGTGTGTACCTGCACATGGAGTTGCGTGAGGAGTGTGTGAGAGACGCGGCAGGACTCATGTCTGGTGTTCGGGTCAGTGCCAGATCACACTGGTCCAAAAGCTCCAGTAACTCCTCTTCAGTGGGACCTCCGAGAGCTTTAACACACAAATACACAAAAACTGACCCGGTGCCAGAGAAAACAATGTTTTTGCCTGTCCTCTCTTTCCTTATAATGCATTTCACATTCATTTATTCTTCCACCCTCACCTTTGATATCCACTTTCCCTGCGATCTCCATCGCCGTCGTGAGGTCCCACATCTGGATGCTGCCGTTGCTGTGTCCACTGAAGAGGTACCGGCGGGGCCTGGACCCAATGCGGCTGGAGCCCTCACACTCATGCACCACAAACGCTGTGATGGACGTCCCGTCCACCGAACGCACCTCACACAACCTTCAGATGAGACACAGACCAAGTTTAGCACTCTCTCAGAGCGCAGCACCTATATTTGTGGTGATCAGCATGCATCAGTTAACACCAGTTAATTTAATTTTAGTCAGCTGCTCTACTGTTAAAATAGGCTGGTTTGTCTTGTTTGTATTTTAAACTGACCTCTTCCCATTGGAGGAGAGCCTTACGTAGAGTTTATCCGTGTCGGGAACCACACGCTGGATAAACACCTGCTGCTCGTCGCGCTCCCCATATGGACCTGTGCACACAACCATTAGTCAACATATTCTAGCCCAAAAACCAGTCAAATAAATATAAATGTGACCCTGCAGCACAAAAGCAGTCTTAAGTCGCTGGGGTATATTTGTAGCAATAGCCAACAATACATTGTATGGGTCAAAATTATTGATTTTTCTTTTATGCCAAAAATCATTAGGATATTAAGTAAAGATCATGTTCCATGAACATATTTTGTAAATTTCCTACCGTAAATATATCAAAACTTAATTTTTGATTAGTAATATGCATTGCTAAGAACTTCATTTGGACAACTTTAAAGGCGATTTTCTCAATATTTAGATTTTTTTTTGCACCCTCAGATTCCAGATTTTCAAATAGTTGTATCTCAACCAAATATTGTCCTATCCTAACAAACCATACATCAATGGAAAGCTTATTTATTCAGCTTTCAGATGATGTATAAATCTCAATTTCGAGAATTATGACTCGTTTTGTGGTCCAGGGTCACAAATGTGATTTTATTCTAAAGCAATGAGGCTTCATACTGTCATTCTGAACCATCTTTGAGGCTGCTGACTACATCTCACCTATTTCAGTGCCAGCAGCACAGCCTCCATGGCCATCAATATCGTCCAATGAGAGGATCTTAAAGGAAGTGAGGGGGGTGGAGCCAGGCTGAGTGGAGATCATGCCTCGGAAACGTGTCACTGTCCAGGTACGAACGTGATAGTTGTCTGCACAGACTGCACGAAGGATTTTTGATCGATTTACTCCAAAACTCTTTTCATTTATGTAAAGAAATAAAAAAGCATTTTGAAAAAAAAAAAAAAAAAACAGAAGTTAAATGAAAAGAACTATTTCAAGGTCACTGTTTAAATGTAATAAAAAATTAAATGTTAAAAAAAAGTCTGTTTTTGTTTTTGTTTTTCCAATTCAATATTAATAAATTATACAGAAAGAAATTATAAACCTTTCAGACTATTGATCCCCACTACATTCTGCACATGAAAGAGCATTAGTGTGTATGAAGAAGAAATGTTTTAAGCCACTGATTAAATGTAATAAGAATTCATTTTATTTTATTTAAATTTTTTTAATGTAAAAAAAAAATGTATGAAGAAGAAATATATCTAAGTCACTGATTAAATGTAATAAAAACTAAATGTAAAATGTTTTTTTGCAAGTTGAAGGTTTCTGTTTTTGTTTATTAATTAAATATTAATGAATTATACTGATTTTTTTTTTTTTTTTGGAAAGAATTAAAAAAAAAATTGTATGAAGAAAAAATATATCTAGGTCACCGATTAAATGTAATAAAAATTAAATGTAAAATGTTTTTGCAATTTGTAGGTTTCTGCTTTTGTTTATTAATTCAATATTAATGCATTATACTGATTTTTTATTTATTTTTTTTAGAAAAAAAAACAAAATATGTTTATGAAGAAATATTTGTAGGTCACTGATTAGACGCAATAAATGTTTACAAATTTATCACATTCAAGTTTCTGTTTTCAAATTTATATTAATATATTGTTTAGATTTATAAAAAAAAAAAGGATAAATGGATATATGGAAATGGAAATAAAAAAATATTTTTACTATTAATCTCAGACTTTTTATCCCCACTATATTCTGCACATAAATGAGCAATGCGTATGAGATGAAAACTCTTTACCAGAGATGAGATGTTTCTCAGACAGCATGATCTTAGTAACAGGGCTGCGGTGAACGGAGAAGGTCTGGAAGAGCTGTGGACCGGATCCCACCGTCTCTGGATGCTGCACTATGACACGCACCGTGCCTGAACTAGTGCCATACGCGATCTCGATCCAGTTCCCACTGTCACCTGAACAAACACAAGGTTTGATAGAAATGACACTAAAGTATACTTTAGTTTACCATAAATGCTTGTCACTACATTTGGCAGAACACACATTTGTTTCCTTTAAAAACATTACATTCCGTTTGCACTTAAGTATATTCTTTTAAAGCATATGATTTCCGTAATAAGCTCTATGTGGCTATATGTGGTATGACGCTGGTCTGGGTGTGTGTGACTGGAGTGTGAGATGAAATCAGAGGCTGCCGTTACTTGTTTTGGGCGTCAGGTAGACACTTAGAGCAGTAATAGCATCTTCACTGGGATCTCGATACAGCTCAGTCACCAACAGATCGTTATCCTTCATCCGCAGTGGAAACTTCTGGACATCTGAAAGACGCAGACATGCATGATATGTCAGTGATCAGCTTGATGAACCACCTGAACAATCAGTAGAGGTGGGTGGTATTTTTTAATGTATCCCCAAAAATATTTTACAACAGCTTATTGTCATTTCAGTTGGAAATTCAACAACAAAAAAATGGTTTATAATTCTATAACCCTGTCGCAATGCCTTAATAAAGTGAATTAAATGTTTTAAAAAATAAGATACTTTTTTATTTGCAACTTTATAAAGCAAAATCAAAACATGAGAAGCATTAGATTATTCAGGTCTGATTGTTGCTTTACCTATGTAGTAAATAGATCCATTATTACATCCCAAAATGAGGAACGATCCGGCTGTGTCATAACTGTTGATGGGAACCACATCCTGGTTCTGCATTTAGAGAGTAATGAGACACATTAGAAATGCAGAAATGATCTAACAGTCATGCATCACTCAGCTCTCATTACCTGCCAGTGTTTAGTGACTGCGTTCCACACTCCCACTTTACCCGTGTGGCTGGTGGCGATGAGCTGATTTCCTACGAAGAACAAAGCCTCCACCGGCACATTCAAACTGAACACACCTGCCGATCAGAACAAACAAGAACTCTGGTTTCCAAACATTTGTGAAAGATTCAAAAGCATTAGATGAAATGAGAGCTTACCAATTTCATTGCCCTTTCCATCGGGACAGATTGCCCACAGTATGATTTCTGTGCCCGATGCAACGGCAACCATCTTATCGTTGTCCCCTAGAGAACCGCCCATGACTTTGGCATTAAGAGCCACTCTGTCAATCACCCAGTCCAGCCGAGGGCTGGTGAACACCTGCTGCCATCCAGTCGACTCTTTAACCCTGAGCACAAGAAAGAGACGCCCCATTTAAAAAAAAAAATCCCACACATACATCCGAATCATTACTATAAGTGTCATTTAAAGAGGAACCCTACCTGTAACAGACCACAAACTGGGCATAAGCCACGGCAATCCAGTTATGATGACCGCATATGATTCTGACCATGCCTGGATCAGAGATCGGACCTAAACAACACAGATCACACGATTCAAGAAATTGTTGAAAATTACTCTGCAAACAGGAAGAATGAACTAAAGATGCACCCAAGAGAACTGTTTTGCAGGAAGCAAAAAAGAGAGAATAGAATAGAATAGAATAAACCAGAGTAGAATGGCATAAAATAAAATAGAAAAGAATAAACTAGACTAGAAAATGAGTAGGATTGAGTAAAATAGAACAGAACAAAATAAACAGTAGAAATGAGTAGAATTTAGTAAAATAGAATGGAATAAAATAGAGCCGAATAGAATCAAACAAATCCGAGTAGAAATTAGTCAAGTACAGCAGAGTAAAATCGTAAAATTAATCAGGCTAAAATAGAATAGAACAGATTAAAGCAGAGCTTAAATTAGTTGAACCGAGTAAAACAAAATGGAACTGAGTAGAGCAGAACTTAATCAAATCTAATAAAACAGATAGTAAATTAGTAAAACTGAGTAAAATATAACAGAACCGAGTAGAGTGCAACAGAGTAAAATAAAATGGAATACAACAATTATTTAAGTAAAATGGAATAAACTAAAGTAGAAATAATTAATTAGAGTAAAATAGGACCGAATAACCTAGAGTAGAAGTGAGTAAAATAAAACAGAATGGCATAAACTAGTAGAATAAACAGAATAAAATCAACCAGAGTAGAAATTTGTAGAACTGACTATAATGGAATTTGATCTGAGTAGAGTAGAACAAAACTGAATAGAATGGAACAAATCAGACTAGAAGAGCAGAACTGAGTAGAGTAAAACAGAATAAACAGTAGAAATTATCAGGCCAAAATAGAGCAGAATAGAATACACCACAGTAGAACGGAGTAAAATAGAACAGAATAAAATCAGAGTAGAAATGAATAGGAACTGAGTAAAACAGAACAGAAGTAAGCAGAGAAGAAATTAGTAATTGAATTAAAAAGAATAAAATAAATCAGAGTAGAAATAACTAGAACCAAGTACAATAGAAAATAATAGAACAGACAGAAAACAGAAAACAGAACAGAATAAATCAGAGTAAATAAGAGCACATTATAACAGAAAAGAACAAAATAGAATAGAATATACCAAAGTAATGCCAGAGTAGAATGAAATATAACAGTAGAATGGAATATGTCAGAGTAGAAAGGATATATATAAAAAATAGTAGAGTAAATCAGAGTAGAGTGAAACACACTCGAGTAGGGAAAAGCAAATTGGAGTAGAATGGAATACTGAAAGGAATTGAGGAGAAAGGCAGACCTGTCACTTTCTCCTCCATGGCAGCTTTGCTCAGGTTAGGCGGCATTGTGTTACTCCTCCTCACAGGGGCCCTTTCCGCGGGCCCCGCACGGCCCCCCATGAACTGGGGTCCTGCCACACTGTGCCTGTTTCTGTGCTTCACCGGATACACTGTAACACACACAGCGAGTCTCTCAGAAAGCTGCGGTCACTTCACATGGTGTAAACGCTGTCTCTGTGCTCAGGGCTTGTACCTGCTGGAGGCAGGTAGCCGTTGAACAACACGTTCCCGCAGGAGGAGCGATCCAACTCATCACACAGCTGCAGCTTTTGCACTGCAGAGACAAAGACCTGATTAGATGAGGCACTGCTGTGTAAACACCCATTTAATCAACATGCAATTTAATATAAACCATCAGAATAATCCCAGCACAGCCTGATCTCACCCAGCGGCGTGATCCCATAGAACTCTGCCTCGTGCATTAACAAGTGAACATCTATGGACCTGCCAGAAAAACAGAGTTATGCCATCTAATACCTAAATTTGACATTTAAACTTCAGCGTTAAATGATCTATCTCACAAAAATATAGACATACCTGGGGTGAAGCTCTTTAGTGCGCAGAAAGTTGAGGATAGGAGCAAACAGAGATGGATCTCGGTCAATGAAGATCTAAAAATGACAAATATCACATCAAAACACACTCGCATAGTAGCATCTCTGTAAAGATAGATCTATGTATTATTATTTGTAGCATGTATAATTGAATAAACCTCACCGCTCCAGTCTCATCTTTAAGTGTTGATATCCGTCCACTTAATAAACTAGAAGTATAAAAAAAAAAAAAGCTGGCATATTATTAAATCAATAATTCTGTGGTAATAAGACATATGCCAAAAACAAACAAGCAATCCATATATCAGTATGGTCAGTTATTATAATAAAACCTAATTTATGTTATAAGCACTTAAATGGTCAATATACACTGCCGTTCAAAAGTTTGGGATCAGTAAAGATTTTTAATACTTTTTAAAGAAGTTTCTTATGCTCATTAAGGCTGCATTTATTTGATCAGAAATACAGAAAAAAACAGTAATATTGTGAAATATTATTACAATTTAAAATAGCTGTTTTCTATGTGAATATATAGTAAACTGTAATTTATTTCTGTGATCAAAGCTGTATTTTCAGCATCATTACTTCAGTCTTCAGTGTCACATGATCTTCAGAAATCATTCTAATATGCTGCTTTGCTGCTCAAGAAACATTTCTGATTATTATCAATGTTGGAAGCAGTTGTGCTGCTTCATTTATTTTTTTTTTGGAACCTTTGATACCTTTTTCGGAATTCTTTGATGAATAAAAAGTTAAAAAGAACAGCATTTATTCAAAATAGAAATCTTTTCTAACAATACAAGTCTTTACTGTCGCTTTTTATAAATTTAACACATCTTTGCTGAATAAAAGCATTAATTTCTTTCAAATATAAAAAGAAAAAGAAAATCTGCTGACCCCAAACTTTTGAACGGTAGTGCATATTGTTAAAAAAGATTTCTATTTAAAGTAAATGCTGTTCTTTTAAAACTTTGTATTCATCAAAGAATCTTTAAAAAATGTATCACAGGTTCCAAAAAACAAAACAAAACAAAGCAGCAAAAACGGTTTCTAACATCGATAATAAATCAGCATATTATAATAATTTCTGAAGGATCATGTGGAGTAACGATGCTGAAAATTCAGCTTTGATCACAGCAATAAATCACATTTTAAAGTATTTTAAAATAGAAAAGTTATTTTGAATGGCAATAATATTTCAGTTTTTTTTTTCTGTATTTCTGATCAAATAAATGCAGCCTTGATGAGCAGAAGAAACGTCTTTTAAAAATAAAAACCAAACTTTTGAACAGCAGTGCACATAAACCAAGCCAGGATTTGGTCTGGTTTAACTTAATCTGATCTAAAACACACAAACCTTGAGAAAAACGAGTCAGGAACCCATGTCAGAGTCTGTCTGGAGGTGCTGAACCTGAGGTTATTCATTCAAACATAAAAAGAAAAACACTTTTAGCCAAAAAAAAAAATAATAATAATAATATTTTTTATTTTTATTTTAGGGGTCACGGTTATTTGACAGAGTTACGAATGCATTCATAAGCAGATGTTTATTACTGTCTGCTACTACTTACAGTAAGTGGCATAAATAAAAAGCAATACTAAAACACTACTGCAGACTACTTGTTCTGAAGACTACAGTAAAGTTCCTAAAGCAGAGAATGTTAATGAAGTGTGGCATGTTTGCATATTTAACACAAAACCTTTTGCCCCCAACGTTAAGATGAATGATGTCGCCAATCCTCGCCATGATTTTCGCGTTTAAGGCCACACGTTCATAGTTCATCGGATTTGTAAGTAGGTATTACTATTAACTCCATAATTACGCTGTTTAATTTTACTAGCCGTAGTGAGGAAACAGCGGAAGAGCGGATGTTGTAACAAAATATCTCGTGCGGAAGTGGAGACGCGCTGACTTTCAAAATAAAAGCCCGTAAACTAACCTTATAAAAGCCTAACAAAATCACGCTCTCGTCTTCCTCAGGTTACCGTGAGCGTGTGTTGCGGGTAACGCATTACAAGTAACGCGAGTTACGTAATCAGATTACTTTTTTTCAAGTAACTAGTAAAGTAACGCATTACTTTTTAATTTACAAGAGAATATCTGAGTTAGTTTTTCAAATAAGTAACGCAAGTTACTTTTTTTTCCAATTTATTGTTTGACAGCTCTCCTGTCCCCATGTTGAGAGAAATCAGATGTTACTGTAGTTATTTGCCAAAAATATAACTTTTTTTATTTTAAAAACAAACAAGCAAGCCCTGTCCAGATTTAAAAAGTAACGCAAAAGTAATGTAACGCAACGCATTACTTTCCATAAAAAGTAACTAAGTAACGTAATTAGTTACTTTTTTATGGAGTAACGCAATATTGTAATGCATTACTTTTAAAAGTAACTTTCCCCAACACTGCATATAACACGTGCTTTTATGCATTTCCTAGAGGGGCAAAAGTCAGTGCCTAGTTCATGAATTTAAAAACATCCACGTATAACAACAGATGTACAAAAAAATAACAAACGTAATCCAAAATTATTTTAATAGCAGACCGAGTGCCTATTTTTGTCATGCAACATTAATGCGCCTTAGAGGTATGTTTACGTAAAAACATACATTTTGATCACCTTTATTTGGAAAGGTACAACAAAATTTAACAGCAAACCTTATCACTGTTCTGTTCAGTACTATCACTTCCACTATCTATCCACTATCTTCATAGAGGTAATATTGGGTTTTCATAGCTAAAGTAGGGCTACTTGGTGAAGAAATTAATGCACCCAAGTATTTCAAATGCAATTTATTAGTATCAGAAGGCCTCTGAGGTTTATTACATTTAGTCTGCTCAGTGTTTCAAACTTCACAACAGTGTAAATGATGCAATTTTTCCATTCTTTCCTAATGGAATTAATTTTAAAGGCAGGTTTTATGTTCATGAAAGTATTTCTTATATATATATATATATATATAACACATGCCATCCATTTATCCAAAATACAAACACATGCAAAACTTGATGAAATAGAATATATTTAAGCATGTATTATAAAATCAATATTAATATAGAATAACAAATTCACATCAGGAACATTTTGTCCCTTCATTTGAATTCCGCAAAGCCTAAAATGTACAGTAATATTCACAAAAACTTGAAATTGATCAGTTTGTAAAACAACTTAAAAATAATAAACAAAAAAATGCCTTTTTTATCATATTCGATGCATCAGACTTTTATGGCTCATGTGATACAGTAAGAATATGAAGCTCATCAAGGACGAGGAAGAACAAACGTCTCAGTTATATTCAGATGCCCAAAACTGCACAAAAATATGCAGGTGCAGATATTTATATGGACTAAATTAGATGGAATTCTGATGCTTGTAATGTAACTCGATGAGATCTTCATAACTGTATAACAGACTACTTGGCTTACATAAAACCACATTAATATCAGTCGTCACTCTCAAAACATAATGCAATGCAATGCAGTACAATGATTATTGAGAGATGAACTCATAAACGTTCCTCAAAAGCCTGATGATCTTATTTGAGACTCATATTTTTTATTTTTTTTTTCTAAAAACTTTCTGGATAATCAAGTAAACCTAAGCTTTGACAGCAACAAAGGTGCACATTTGTACAATTAGACTAAAATGCCTTTACTTGTTAAAACAAGTCTAAACTATCAATCAGACGACATGAAGGCATGGAGCAGATTGTGTGCCACAGGTTTGACAGCAAAGTTTTGATCCTGTTGATCAGTTAGAGATCTTTAAATGTGTGGAGCAGGTTAATATCTGACCATGTCCTCCTCTCAGTGCTTCAGCTCTGAATAAATCAGTGTTCACCCCTCGATTTTTTTGCATATATAAATGCATTTATTGCTGGAGTCTCCGTCATGTACAGTACTTACAGTGCTGTCAGTTCACAAACACACCAACAAGCTTCAGTCACAGGTACGTGTTCTCAATAACCACATCTCTATGCTCATCAACACTGTGCGGCGCTGGAGAGCAGGGTTGCACACAAGCAGGACTCTCTGTCTTGGGACAGCTGGTCTTGTCCACCTGAGGGGAGCAACAGAGCTTCTCCACACACTCCTGGCCACAGCGCAAGCTGCAGAGCGACCGTCCCGATCCGCCACCGGCTGCTGCGTCGCTCCTGATGAACTCCGGCTGCACGGTGCAGTGGTTGATGCCGAAAGCGGCCAGCACTGCTTTTGTCCTCCCCATCAGATCTGCGCACTGCGCTGCGTTCAGCCCGTCCGGACAGTGAACGTGCAGCGACGCCACCATCAGCGCGTCCGACAGCTGCCACACGTGCAGCTCGTGCACCGACAGCACGCCCGGTACTTCAGTGAGCCTCAGCCGCACCTGAGCCACGGAGAGATGCAGCGGCGTCGCCTGCAGCACCAGCAGCCCGTAGCGCCGCAGCTTCGGCAGGGCTGTGCATAACAAAACCAGCACACAGACTGCGGAAAAACCTGCGTCCAGATACACCAGGAGGTGACAGTCGGAGTGAGGCCGATGGCAGTGCGCTGCAGACAGCAGGAGAACCAGACCGTTAGTCAAAACCAGGACTGAACCCAGAAGGTGCTGCTGGATCACACCGATGTAGCCGAGCTGCTGTCGTCTGCGCCTGGAGCCTTCAGGAATACACTGGGAAACTGTCGGGTTAAAAAGAAACCAATTATACATAGTGTGGCATGTCGAAATTGCGGAATATTTCTGTATAGGGTAGAGTGGGGGAAAACGTTTCCAGTTCCACCCTACTGTTTTTCCCAAAATAACCACTAGATAAAGTCAAGATACAGTTTTGTTGTAACTATGGACTGTGTTGACAAGAGTGATGTAGAAGTATTCATCGTGAAGCTCACACTGCTGATGAACCCGAGAGAGAACTGATTTCACAGGAAGTGATCTAATATTCAGCAGAAAGAAAAAAGTGTTTTAAAGCTTGCTGTTTTGTGGAACATCACAGTTATATATGATATGAGAACAGTAAGGCCTGTAGATGCAGTATGTGTTATTTAAGAAAATTAGCATTATATTTTTAGAATTACTTTTTTTTTTTTTTCAAACCTAGGCTGTGGGGTAAAACTAAATTCATAATTATTGATTATATTCTTTTTAATTTTAAGCTAAAACTGCCTGTATTTTGCTGAAGCAAATTGCTTTGTCAGACTGGTACAAATTAAATTTTTGTTAAAAATCTAATAACATGAAAACTCTGGACATTTTTCATACTCGGTTTATAATTTATGTCATTGTCACTAAAACTATGATAACTATTCTGGACACATTTAACTTTTGTTTCACAGAAAAAAAATAATAATTAACTGTCCGGGGGGCGGTTTCCCCACTCTACCGGTCAAAAGTTTGTAATAATTATTTTTAATGCGTTTGAAAGAAGTTTATTATGCTCAACAAGGCTGTAATTTTTTTAAATAAAAAATAGTAGTATTGTGAAATATTATTACAATTTAAAATAACTGTTTCCTATATGAATTTATTTTAAAATGTTATTTATTTCTGTGATCAAAACTGAATTTCCAGCATCATTACTCCAGTCTTCAGTCACACATGATCTTCAGAAATCATTCTAATATGCTGATTTTCTGCTAAATAAATGTTATTATTATTAATGTTGAAAACAGTTGTGCTGCTTCATATTTCAAAAGTTTGGGACAAGAAAGATTTCAACAACCAAAAATACTTAAGAAATTCATTTTTATTCAGCAATTATGCACTAAATTGATCAAAAGCGACAGTAACGACATTAATAATGTTACAAAAGATTTCTATATCAAATAAATGCTGATCTTTGGAATTTTCTAGTCATCAAAGAATCCAGAAAAAATTTTTTATCACGGTTTTCACAAAAATATGAAGCAGCACAACTGTTTTCAGCATTGATAATAATCAGAAATGTTTGTTGAGCAGCAAAGCAGCATATTAGAATGATTTCTGAAGATCATGTGACACTGAAGACTGGAGTAATGATGCTGAAAATACAGCTTTTTACATACATTTTAACAGATATTACAACAGAAAATTGTTATTTTATATTGTACTAATATTTCACTATCTCTGCTTTTACTGTATCTTCTTAAATGAACATGCTCTCACCGGTGGGTTGATGTGGTTTTTCCGGAATGATTTCCTGTGAACTTTCACTGATTCTGGAATTAGACTTTTGACTGTGACTGGACTGGACTGCTTCAGTGATGCTGGGCTCTGGTAACTCAGAAGAGCTGTGCTGAGAGCCTTGATCTGGATCCAGAACCCGAGATGCTTCAGGGTTGCAGAACATCAGTGCGTCATCCTGCAGAGCACTTCCTACAACACAATAATCATCAAGATCCTCACAGCCGTTCTGCAGCAGATCCTTAACCTTACTGATCATAATAAAATACAGAGGAATAAACACCAAGGACATTAGGCCACAGAATGTGGAACTGATTGCACTGTACTTACTCTTCTGTATCACTAAAGGAATGCAAAACTGTCATTGGGATTACAAAAGCAGCTCAATGTCAGTTCAAAGAGAATAACTCGTGAGCGATGAAAATATTCATTATAGTCACATTCTCATCACTGCACAACCAAACTGATCACTTCTTCCAATAATGTTTTCATTTTCAGATTTTGAGTCAGTTTAGGGTCAAGGTGAAGACATTTAGCAGGAAAGGTTGGCATCTTGTGCAACCTTCCCAGTTTGGTTGTGCAAACAGATGGCTTCAGCAAAAGCATATACCGTCGATTAACAACCTCGGAGCTCACAGTAGGTCTGTCTTTAATGGTGTGTAAGTTATTGTTCAAAATCTATTCCCCTATGAAGAAAATGAATGGA